GGGGGGAGCACAGAGCAGGAGAGGAAGAAATGCAGTATGAGTATGCTGTGGTTACTTACAAGATCAAATCTTAGCAGAAATAGATCATGGAAGACAGATACCCCTTTTGTTCTTTTCATAGTTTCTACAGGTTGGATGTGGAGATTTAATATGAATGTTTTGAGCAGTTATTGTCATGAGGTTTCACTCTCATCCTTACACTGGGATGCAATGGATCTGGACCTAGAGGTATGAATTCATCTGAAGCAGCTATTTACTTTTATTCATGTATCTTGAGCTTCAATTTCCTATTATGTTCTGCCATTCTTTCTAGTTAAATATTATTTTCCTTAGAAAACATGAAAGCCAGGATTTGTAGCCTTATAACTTTTAACGCTGAAAAGTCTCTTATTTCCTAGATGGAGTTCTCATAGCCAGTCAGTACTTACTTCACTTTGCCAGGTTGAGATGCTGCTTTCTCTTGGCATGTGTGGCATCCTTTCCTGGCCCTCCGATTCCTCTCAACTCCTTTGCTGGCTCACCTCCTAAGACTGGGCATTTAAATGTCAGAGTTCTTCAGGGCTCAGTTCTGTCCTCCTCCTTTATCATGAGATCAAGGATTCTCATCCTTCATTATAGACCTCAGTGATCATATTCATACAGGTTTCAACCACCGTCTTTATGTTAACCAATCTCAAATTGTCATCTACATGTTTCCTCTGAGACCCGTATGTCCGTCTGTTCAGCACCTCCTGTGATCTCACAGGCATCTCAAACTCTTAACAGCTAAGACCAACTTACCTTCTCACATCTGGTTCTTTCCTGTTCTGAAGCTCAGTAATTATAGTACTGTGCAGCACTTGCTTAAGCCAAAAGCCTGGGAGTCACCCTTGGCAGTGCTTTTTCCTCATATCACACATCTAATTCATTTACAAGTCCTGTTGATTTTACCTCCTAAATATCTCTTAAATCTCTGTTTTTCCTCCTATCCACTGTCATTTCACTCCCCAAATATATTATTCCTACTTCCGGACTGCTACCAGCCTTCCCGAATTTACTTTTGTTCCCCTAAGTATATATCCTCAAATTTCTTATTTTTCTGGTTAAAAATCATCCAGTGACTTCGATTGTTCTCAAGAGAAAAAGAAACAAAAATTATTTAGCGTGGCTTACAAACCTACATGGTCTGCTTCTTGCTTAACTTTCCCAGCCTCATCTATCACCACGCTTCTTCCTAGAGACTGGGCCACTGTTGGCCATAGATTCTGTTCCTCCAAAGTTGCCATACTCATTCCCACCAGGAGGTCTTCACACATGCTGTTTTCTCAACATAAAACACCACCCTCACCCTTCCTTCCCCATCTAGCCATTAGCCATTCATCAGAAAGCTCACTTCTCACCTTAATTGTTCAAGGTACCCTGGTGGCCCAGTTCTGTTCTGGTCCTGCTATATCCTCCCAGAGCACCCTGTTCTGCTTCCAGCACTTAACCCAGTTAGAATTAAATATGTAAATAGCTTTTTTTCGGTCTTCCCCAGAATGTAAGCGCCATGGGAGCAGCAACAGACCACTCAGAGGGGGAGACATGGCAATGCCTAGCACAGAGTAGGGATAATTTGCATCTCTGCCTCTGATGAGGCCTTCCTCCCAAGGCCTGGAAGCCTTGCCGGCTGGGAGTGCTGCACAATTAGCCAATCCCTTTCATCACCTCTTGGCTTCAAGAATCCTTAATGAATGACTGAAGGAAGCTGATGTATAAACATCCCACCTTCTTTCCTCCTTTCTCCCTTGCTCCTTGCATGGGTAACTCTGAGGTTGGTATTTTACTGTTCCCTGTCTCATTTCCCTCCTCCCTACAGGTGTTTTCTGTACCTCCCACATGAACTACTTACACCTGAATCCTCATCTTAGGGTCTACTTCTTGCGAAACCCAAACCAAGACATGCACACAATCAGTCTTGGAGTCTTGCTGCCTGTCCTAGCAGCATCAGCATTACTAGGGAACCTGTTAGAAAAGATTCTCAAGATCTTTCCCAGACCTCTGATACAGAAACTCTGAGTTTGGGGTCAGGAGTCTGTGTTTTAATACGGCATCTGTGTGATTCTCTTGCACACCAGATTTAAGAACTACTGGAGTATAAATGACATTATATCTTTTGCTCCAAACAGAGAACCTATCTTTTTTTTTCTTGTTCCAAAAATATCTCTCTAAAAAGTTAAAAATTAAAATATTCAGAATTTTTCAAGAGTCTTAGATATCCTGGGTACTAACCTTCTTGAAATGATTCTTGAGAATTTCAGACCATCACTGCTATTCATCCTTGTATATATGTCCCATTTACAAGACTGAGCCCATAAAAAAATTTGATCTC